GTCAACGAGAAGAAGTTGCAGGAAATTTCAGAAATGATGCGCCACATAAAACAAGATGGCGGCCGGGACGATTATCAGCACCTCAACGACCTACTACAGAAGCTGAGGGCACGGTACAACAACCTACACAGTTGCATTAGAAACAGGTTAGTGGATGGTAAACACACACACACGCACACAAACACACGCACACAAACACACACGCACACACACTCACACAAACACACACACACACACACGTAAATACGTCTAGGAAGTTAACCGAAGACGAAGAACTAATGAAATCGGGTCAAATTAATGAGGTCATTGCCTCGCAACGTGATTGGCTGTTGAAATGTCATGAATATTTAAATGACGACCAACAATTGCTGGGGGATGTTGATACGGTCGCCATGCTACTGGAACAATTTAGAGTGAGATGATGATGATGATGGTGATGATGATGGAAATGATGGTGATGATGATGGTGGTGGTGATGATGATGTCGTAGTTAATGATGATGTTGTCTATATGGGTGGTGGTGAATTGACAAATAAGTACATACGAACCTACACACACAAACAAACAAACGCATACACATACAAACAAACACACAAACAAACACACACACACACATACACAGCTGTTTGAGGAAGATTTCAACGACAGAATCCCCCCAATCGAGACAATGGTGACGAAGTACCAGCACCATCCCCACCACCAAAGACCAATTTCTGAGATTTTTGAGTTACTGGAGCAAGTTAAGCAGCTCGTTCAGCTTAGGGGAGATAGATTGAATGAATCGTTTGCATTGGTTGGTTTCATTTATTCATTCATTCATTCATTCATTCTTTCTTTCTTTCACCTCGCGTTTTAACGTGTTACAAATGTTCACGAGCAAATGCAGTCAATATTGAACTTCCACCCCAAACAACCGTGACCTTGACCTTTCACTTTTGACCTTTCAATTGCTAGGCCGAAGAGTTTCAGAGCGCAATCGAACCGCTGAGAAGCAAGCTGCCCAGAATTGAAAGCGAGCTGAACGACGGAATGAATAGCGAAGAAATAAATGCAAGCGAGGAAGTGCTCATGATGATGATCGAAAAATTGCAGGTCGGTGATGATGATGATGATGATGATGCTAATGTTTGGTGATGATGATAATGATGTTGCTTTTGTTTGGTGATGATGATGATGATGCTGCTAATGTTTGGTGATGATGATGATGATGCTGCTAATGTTTGGTGATGATGATGATGATGCTGCTAATGTTTGGTGATGATGATGTTGTTTTTGTTTGGTGATGATGATGATGTTGCAGGTCGGTTGGTGACGATGATGATGATGATGATGAAGATGACGTTGTTGATGATGACGACGATCTGAACGATAATACAGCTACTAGATGAAGAACTGAGCAAAGAACAGCAGAACATAGACAGGATAGCGTTCATGAAGGACGAAATTATGAATAGTTGCCACCCTAGTGCCCTCAGGTTCATGCAGTACTACATCACTATTACCCTTACGAGGTCAGTCTTTTGGGGTAGAGGTTAAAGGTCAGAAGTTAAAAATCATTCTCTTTCATGCATTCACTACAGATGTATCAACAAACAACAACACAACAACAACACAACAACAACACACACACACACATACACACATACATACACACATACATACACACATACATACACACATACATACACACATACATACACACATACATACACACATACATACACACATACATACACACATACATACACACATACATACACACATACATACACACATATGTATCAACAACAGTCTCTCACTTTTTTGTATCTTCTCTCTTTCTCTCTCTCTCTTTCTTTCTTTCTTTCTTTTTTTCTTTTTCATTTTTACAACTTACTACAACAGTCAAATAAATGACAACCAACCATAACACACACCCAGGTACGAGCAGATCCAATCGAAATGCAGGGAACAAATTTTGAAATTAAACGACCAATTAAAATTAAGAATGGGGGGCGTCTCATTGATTGACAGCCTGTGGGAGTGGCTTAGCAACGCCCACCAGCTAATCAGAACGAAGAATTTGGACGCCATTCCGAATGATCTGCTGACCATTGACACCCTCATCAGAGACCACCAGGTATGTAGTTACCTTGAACTTTCACCCCCAACTGTATGAACTTGAACTTGAACTCCAACTGTGTGACCTTGAACTTTCAGCCCAACTGTACGACCTTGAACTTTTATCCTTAATCTCTCGTTTCGTTCAGTCAATCGCTAAATCTACAGAAAACGCATTTATTTATTTATTTATTTATCTATTTATTCATTCAATCATACATTCAATAATTCATTCATTCACAACAATAATAATAATAATAATAACATAAATAATAATTATTATTATAGTTGTAATTATTTTTACGATCATCATTAGGAGTTTCACGAAGAGCTGATGATGAAAAACAACGAAATCGAAGACGTCGGTCGGCAGATGTCGCCCAATAATCACAACATTCCTCTAGTACGATCCTATTATTGTTATTAATTATTTAATTATTATTACTAATTATTTATTATTATTTAATTATTATTTTAGAATTACGTTCAAATGGTGCATAATAAGTGGAGAGAGATATGGAGGCTTTCCGTAGAGAGGAAAAAAGTGTTGCAAGAGACACTGGAACATCTGATTGAGGTTGGCTTGTTGGTTGGTTGGTTGATTGGTCGGTTGGTTGGTTGGTTGGTTGGTTGGCTGGCTGGCTGGCTAGCTGGCTGGCTGGCTGGTTGGTTGGTTGGTTAGTTGGTTGGTTGATTGAATAACTAGTTCACTGGTTGTTTTATTATTTATTAGATTGGTTAATTAACTGACTGACCAACCAAACAATCACTTAACTTCCTCACCTCCAACCAATGACAAAGCTCGATAGATTCAGCAACTTTGAATTCGACGAATGGCGATCCAGGTATCTGAACTGGATCAAATCCGAAAGATTACGAATCATGGATTTTTTTCGACGCCACGATAAGCAAGGGTACGGGACCCTGACAAGGGAACAATTTGTGAAGGGCTTCATGAACTCGGGTAGAATATCATTTCTATTATTATTATTTTTAATAATATTATTATTATCATTATTATTATTATTATTTTTATCTAAATCTAAAGAATATAAAACACCAAAATACTTTCAAAATCTTAATAACAATTTGATAGACTAACTGAAAAGCTCAAATATTATAATAAATTCATTTAAAATCTCTCCGCTAGGTTTTTTTAAATATCTTAAACTATCATTAATTAATTTTATCTGGTCTGACCCTAATCATAGAAGTTTAATTAGTTCCATAGTATCGTCATCTTACGCAATTTACAGTGATAGGAACACGATTTGAACCTAACTTAATGCTGTTTCTATTTCTCTGTGTGTCCATTTAAAATGTATGGCCAGCATTGTAGAATATCTATCTATATAATTTACATTATAAATTTTATTATTTTAAATTTATAATTACAATGTCTGTTTTATAACGAAAATATAAAGAAGTTCCCATCATCATCGTCATCTTCTTCGTCATCTTCTCCAGGCTTTCCGACCAATAAGATGGAGTTGAGTTCAGTCTTCGATAGATTCGCCAAGAACGGACAGCTGGACTATATGAACTTCATCGAGATTCTTAAAAATTATAAGGTTTATTATTATTATTCTTATTATTATTATTATTATTATTGTTGTTGTTGTTGTTGTTGTTGTTGTTACGTCATTGTGACGTCTTAATTGCAGTCGGACCCAAGCGGTTTTGCATCATCTCCAAGAGAAATTAGTAACTGGCGTCAAGTAGACGATGAAGTTGTCAATCAGATAAGCAGATGCCAATGTTGCAAGCAGTTTCCCGCCTTTAAATTGGCTGATGGGAAATATACGGTTGGTTGGTTGGTTGGTTGGTTGGTTGGTTGGTTGGGTTAGGGTTAGGGTTAGGGTTAGGGTTAGGGTTTATTTATACAAAGACACAATCAAACAAACAAACACATTTACAAACAAACACACAAACATACAAACAACTAACCAACCAACAAACAAACAAACAGACCAACAAACACGCAATCAGACAAACAAACATACAAACAAACATACAATACATACAAACAAACAGTTTGGAAGCAAGAGTAAGCAGTACTTGTTGAGGTTTGTCAACAGAACGGTCATGGTTCGAGTCGGGGGGGGCTGGGTCAGTTTGGACGAATTTCTCGCTACTAATGATCCGTGCCGGGGTTAATATGATCATAATAATAATAATATCAACAACAACAATAATAATAATAATAATAATAATATCAACAATAATAATAATAACTATTATTATTGTTTCCCAACAGCTAAAAATAGAACAAACGTAAAGCTTAGAAACCTGTCTCTGACGAGTATGTTAAAACAGCACAACTACCTACTTACTACTACTACTACTACTACCGCTACTACTACTATTACTACTGCTACTACTGCTGCTACTACTACTGCTACTACTACTGCTGCTGCTGCAGCTGCTTTTACAGCTACAACTAATACTAATAATTTTTCATTATAGGCCTTAGCCGATCGGGTAGCATAACAAGTCTGAACACGGCGAAACTGTCAAACTCGCCCGCCCAGAAAACAGGGGGGCCCAAGAATTTAGTAAGTAAGATGGATTCGACGATGACTCAATCCATGACTAACTTGACTACAGGGAATCTTTCTGCCTATTCTAGAAAAGGTTGTGATGATGATGATGGCGATGATGATGATGATGCTGGTGAGGAAGATGATGATGATGTTGGTGAGGAAGATGATGATGATGTTGGTGAGGAAGATGATGATGATGTTGGTGACGTTGACGATAACAAAAACACTGAAAAAAAATTACATCAAAAAACCCAGGACAACAGCAATTATCAACGCCATCTTTGAAGGGGACCACATCTGGTGGCAAGAAAGGGCCGACCGAGTTCACCCCACCGAGAAGGGTATCCAAGTCCCCCGTCTCCAGCTCTAAAAGGCTTCCTCTGACACCTAAATAATCATAATAAGAAGAAGAATAAGAAGAAGAAGAGTTGTTGTCATTATTTTTCATTCGTTCGTTCGTTCGTTTGTCTGCTCGTCCGTTCGCTCTCTCATTAATTTATTCATTTATTATTCGTTTCTAAATATAATATAATATTCATAATAATAGTAATTATTATTATTATTATTACTAATTTTATTATTATTCTAAATTTTTTTCAATGTTACTGTATAAAGGCTTATGAAGATACCTCTGATCACGAAAGTAAAAAAGCTAAATAATAATAACAACAATAATAATAATATAATAATAATTATTATTATTATTAATTATTATTAATAATAATATTATAATAATAATATAATAATAATAATTATTATTATTATTATTGTTGTTGTTGTTAATATTTTTATACGATTTTTAAAGCAATATCATCGATTTGTTTTAATATTTTCGGGTCTTAATTGATCATTTGTTTAAATTAATTAATTAATTCATTCATTCATTCGTCTATTCATTCACTCGTTTGTTCATTCATTCATTCATTTGTTCGTTCATTCATTCATTTGCTAATTTTTTTCTTCTTCCATTCAAACTAATTTGGCGTTTTTGAATTTCTAACACTCACTAATATTAACTTAGTATTATATTTATAGATATTTAACCTTAAATCATTTATTCATTCATTCAATCATTCATTCATTCATTTTTTATTTCTTCAATTAATCATTCTGCCGATTGTCTTCAGTTAGATGTAACATTTTTAGATTTGTGCTGCATAAATTATGTACATTTTGATTGACTGATCGAATGAATGAATGAATGAACGAATGAATGAACGAATGATTGAACGAATGAATGAATGAACGAATGAATGCATGAACGAATAAATGAACAATTGAGTGGATGAATCAATGAATGTTGAAAAATTTAAAAGTTTTTTCGGGATTGTAATTTTTTTAAATAAACATTTTCAATTTTATTTTCGTGTTTTATCAAACTTCTGTTTGAATCTAGCAGAGCCGTGACGTCATTCTCTCTGGCTACAAATCAAAATTGAACAACAACAACATCAACAACAACATCAACAACAACTACATTATTAGCAACAACATCAACAACAACGCAACAACAACAACATCAACAACAACATTATCAGCAACAACAACAACAACATCTGTCCTTTGGTCATTAGTACCAGTATGATATGCCACACACACACTCCTCTCCAGTCATAACTCAATAAATTACCTAATCATGCAAATTCAACTAATTAATTATGAAAATTTATGTTAATTTATGCAGAGGTTTTGAGTGCGAAAAGTGAACTTCTGGGTAAAACGTAGATTATGATAGTAGTAGTAGTAGTTGTAGTAGTTTTAGTAGTAGTAATAGTAGTAGAAGTAGTAGTAGTAGCAGCAGTAGTAGTAGTGGTAGTAGTAGTAATTGTAGTAGTAGTAGTAGTAGTAGTAGTAGTAGTAGTAGTAGTAGTAGTAGTAGTAGTAGTAGTGGTAGTGGTAATGGTAGTAGTAGTAGTGACAATAACCACAGTTATATCATAAATAACATTAAATAAATCAACTTTAATTATATTGGGATTCAATGAAACAAAATAAGGTAAATTGCTTTGTTATTAAGCTTTTGGTAAACAATGGTCATAATAACACATGTATGTATGTTTGTATGTATGTTTGTGTGTATGTATATTTCTATGTCTGTATGTGTCTTCATCGTCGTCGTCATCATCATCCAGACAAAGGTGACTGAGGTAGAACTGTTTTTAACCGTAAAACCATTTATCCTTATCATCATTGTTATTATTATTATTATTGTTGTTGTTGTTGTTGTTGTTTTTATTGTTGTTAAGTTAAATTTGAGTTAATGTCCGAATGAGATAGAAGCGTAGATTGTTATTTGTTTGTTTGTGTGTTCATTCGTTTGTTTGTTTGTTTGTTTGTGTGTTTGTTTGTTTGTTTGTTTGTTGTTTGTTCGTTCGCTTGTTTGTTGGTTGGTTCGTTGGTTGGTTCGTTGGCTGAAATGATGATGAGAACAAAAGAATTAAAAAAGAGATAAAGAGGCAAAGAAAGAGAAAAATAAGAACTGAAAGAAAAAGTAGAGAGAGAGAGAGAGAGAGAGAGGATGTAAATAAACATAAAAATTGACATTCATAAAGTGTAATGCTGAATTGAAAAATTTATATAATAATTATTAATAACATTAATAATAACAATAGTTTATATTATTATTATTATTACCAGAATAGAAGAGATAGTCTATGCTAGTATAAGTTATTCGCAATTAGTTATAAATTATTTCTGCACCTTAGAGTTTGTATTATCGTTGTTACTATTATTATAATACCAGGCTGTCATCAACCCTATCCTATAGCTATTTGATCAGATATGATATATATATATATATCTGGCCAAAAGATATATGACAATCACAGATATGATATATATATCTGGTCGAAAGATATATGACAATCACAGATATGATATATATATATCTGGTCGAAAGATATATGACAATCACAGATATGATATATATATCTGGTCGAAAGATATATGACAATCACAGATATGATATATATATATCTGGTCGAAAGATATATGACAATCACAGATATGATATATATATATCTGGTCGAAAGATATATGACAATCACAGATATGATATATATATATCTGGTCGAAAGATATATGACAATCACAGATATGATATATATATATATCTGGTCAAAAGATGTATGACAATCACAGATATGATATATATATATATATATATCTGGTCAAAAGATGTATGACAATCACAGATATGATATATATATATATCTGGTCGAAAGATATATGACAATCACAGATATGATATATCTGGTCAAAAGATGTATGACAATCACAGATATGATATATATATATATCTGGTCAAAAGATGTATGACAATCACAGATATGATATATATATATCTGGTCAAAAGATGTATGACAATCACAGATATGATATATATATATATATATATCTGGTCAAAAGATGTATGACAATCACAGATATGATATATATATATATCTGGTCGAAAGATATATGACAATCACAGATATGATATATATATATCTGGTCAAAAGATGTATGACAATCACAGATATGATATATATATATATATCTGGTCAAAAGATGTATGACAATCACAGATATGATATATATATATATATATACGTGTATAGAGAAATGACGTCACTATCCTTAAGCGATTTAGAGGTGTGTTTATTCCCTATTTTCGTCAAAGTTTGAGAAGTACCGAACATTTGGTTGAAATTCGAGATTTTATAGTCTGACATTGAAATTTTTGTTCAAACTATTCCGTTTTTTAATTCCAGGCAAATAATAATTGTTGATATTTGTAGTGGAAAATTTATTTTGGCCATCAGAGCTGTGGGAAAATCTGAGCTTTATCCAGAGATTGAATATTATCTCGATTAAATCGGTTCTACATTAATCGCCTATTGTTTATTCCAAAAATTTGTTTTTATTCTAAATAATTAATTTATTCTCTAAATTGCGAGTAGCAGTCTTTTGGTTTTAGGCTAGTAAGGAATCAACTATTTGTTGCATCTCAATGTTAAAATGTTTATATGTGTATGTGTGTCAGTGTGATTGTGTGTTGGATTGTTTGTCTGTGTGTATGTGTGTGTGTGTGTTGCTCTCTATCTACAGGTTTTTTAAGTAATTTTCTAATAGTTATGATCTATATTTCATAAATTACAGACATATTTGTATATGTATGTGTGCACGTGTGTTAGTATGTGTGTCTGTCTGTATGTATATGTACGTATGTGTAAGTGTGTGTGTGTGTGTGTGTGTGTGTGTGTGTGTGTGTGTGTGTGTGTGTGTGTGTGTGTGTGTGTAAACTTAGTGTTTGACGTTTGTATTATTATTATTATCATCATCATTATTATTATCATTATCATAATTATCTTTATTATTATTATTATTATTATCATCATTATTATCATTATCATAATTATCTTTATTACTATTATTATTATCATTATCATAATTATCTTTATTATTATCGTGCAAAACAACATTAACAATTTATTACAATATTAACAATTTATTTTATTTTATTTCATTTCATTTTATCTATTTTGATTTGATTTTATGTCTTCTGCAATAGTAAAAGAGTTCAAATTATTATCATTATTATTGTTATTATTATTATTATTATTGTTATTATTATTTTATTATTATTATTGTTATTATATTATTTAAATACTCTAATAATTTGAAAAATAACTTAATTGACGATTGCAAATATTTGAAAATAAAAATAAATACATTCGAAATTTCTACATTGGGTTTATTCTAGCAATTTAATTTATCTCATATAAACATTGTTTGGTCTGATAACTTTTGCAATGACCTTATTAAGTCTGCTGTATCATCGTCGTACGCTATCTATTGTGATAGAAATTTGAAATGAACCAATTTTGAAACTAATTAACTCTGACTGTACTCACTCGATTTGAATGATGAGCTTCGCAGATTTGATAAAACACTAATTATTTCATTTGACATTTCATTTTATTTTATTTAATTTGTATTGTCATTTTTATTGATTTTATTGATGAATAAAAGATTGTTCCCATTATTGTTATTTTTATTATTTTTATTTTTATTATTATTATTATTATTATTATTATTATTATTATGGCTGCTGATGTTGTTCTCTTATAGTATTCCTATTTCAATAAATCAGGTTCTTGTGTAAGAAAAATTTTTATTAAAAAATAATATCGTTAATAACAACAACAACAACAATAATAATAATAATAATAATTATTATTATTATTATTATTATTATTATTATTATTATTATATTTGATAACAATTGCAATAATCATAATAATAATAATATTATTATTATTATCATTATTTGCTTGGTATCTTCTTATTGGTAAAAATGTTGAGAGGCCTATTGT